AGACAGTTGTCCCCAGAGCAGGTTAGACAGTTGTCCCCAGAGCAGGTTAGACAGTTGTCCCCAGAGCAGGTTAGACAGTTGTCCCCAGAGCAGGTTAGACAGTTGTCCCCAGAGCAGGTTAGACAGTTGTCCCCAGAGCAGGTTAGACAGGTGTCCCCATTGGAAGACTTCCCCTTACCTCTTGTTCTGGGGACAACTCTGATTTTGGCTGTCCAATTAAAGTGGGAAAAAATTGTTTAATTATTGAAGCACAACACGTACACGGGGTTGAAGTAATATTATTATTTCCCATAATCACGCAATAATTCCTAATAATGTTTACATTGATACAGATTTGTAAAAACTAGGGATGCACCAATACCGTTTTTTCCGGTACACGCCGATACCAAATACCGATCCCTGAATTTGCCAAAAGCAAAACTACAACCTCCTCTCTCTTACAGCCATGGAAGGCGCCATCTGAGCCTCTATTTGGATTGCAGTTGCCATGGTGCTGCTCATGTGACCAGCTAGGACACCAACCATTTGAGTTTGGTTGAGAGGTGAAATAGGTAAAATTCCTCTTTAACAAAATAAACATACTAATACAGGTCCATTTGTTCAAACCTTTCCAGCAATTAAACAGTTAAGCCGCTGCTCTCTTTTGACGACTGGACAGAGCTCATTTCACATGTCTCTACATCAGGAGCCATTTTGGCTGAGCTCCCTCCTTGCGTCTGAATTACCGTGGTCTTCATAAAAATGGCCGTCGCCCCTGAGCTTAGTGCACTGTGATGCGGACACATCAGTAAGAGAATCTGGGTGCCATTTCCACGTGTTTCATCTCTGTGGCTGAGAGTGAGGCTGCAGGATGGTCGCTTTGTAATCATTATTACTTCCATGGAGGACAAGATATAAATTCGCTGATCTCAGTCGGCTGCAGCTTTGATCATCTATATCTAACAGTCCTGATCGTATTCCAGTTCCAGGCAGGGACTGGCACACAGCAGGAGGGGTATCTGGCTGTTATGTTGATCAAAGACTTTAATGACACTATTAATCGGCTGCCTCTCTATCATCTCCCCTCTAAGAAGCCATTACTGTCAGCTGAGCCCTGTGATCCATATTCTCTGTAGACACATGGTGTCTTCTGGTCCTTCTGTGCTCCCATCTACCTGCAGACCATCATCCATGTGAGGTGTGTTGGTGTCTCTATGATCTATGGCTGTCTTTCCTCTGCACTTACCTTCCAGTTGAACTCCATTGTCCTGGATTGTCACCCCTGAGAGACCACAAGGTTTCCTATAGTGTTGACACTTGTAGATGAGCTGTATCTATATCCTCAGCCTGGACTCGCCACTGGGAGGAGCTCGGATCCTTCTGGAATTTTCAGGCCCGAAGATTGACAGCGGCCAGATGCTTTAAGTGTTCGTAGTCACCGTATAGGTTCTGGTGACCTATAAGGTCTATTGATATCACACAACCAGCTGCAACAACAGACCGAAATAGCAACAGATGTACTTCCTGGAATTTGCAAACCAAAAACATTACTTCCGTGTCCTGAACATGTCATTATTCATATCCCAGTCCTGATTGGTCCCATTTCAAGTTTTATTTTTGTGCCTATGACGTCATTTTTATATGACACGTTTTCATCTAACTAAACCTCTAATACATCAGGATTTTGGGTATCGTTAATAGTTTCTGCCGTTTACATAATAACACGTTGGACTTTGTTGCCGTTCACACTTCAGGAAGCTGCAAAGCGATTATCCAAAACATTTTGTGAAGAGAATTTGTGGGTAATGCAGACAACATAGGGATCTGATTTTGGTTGATTTCAGTCTGTTTGTGGTCGTATTATATCAGTTTTTTTTCTTTGCTGGTTGTGTAGAGATGTCGACGGACCACGAGATCCAGTTTTGGTTGTTGGTTCTGGGCTACGTGGTGAACAAGAAGAGGAAACGTAGACGGGAGACGGTGAGGAATTACTGGGTGCACCCGCTGACCAGCCAGAGGTTCTCCAAGGGGCAGTTTCACCTTCGTTATGGAGATCTGCGCAAGTGTCCCAAGAGGTTCTTTAATTACTTCAGAATGTCCATTGGAACGTTCGATGAGCTGCTGGAGTTCCTGAGGCCGGCCCTCATACGGAGCGACACGCAGATGAGACTGGCCATATCACCGGAGGAGCGGCTCTGTGTTACTATAAAGTATGTTGGGGGATGTTGTAAATGGAATTATATAAGACACGAGGGTAAAATGAATAACAAATCCGGTCTAGGATCCAGAAGACCGAACTTCCTCCATTTAGGGCAAAGCAACAGGTTTACTTTAATCCTCCGCTCCTCCCCAACATATACTAACCTATCCAACCAGCACTGTCATAGGGGAGTCCATAGCCCTGTGTAAGTGAAGACTCCGCTCAGTCGACGCTTATTATATATGCATCTGTGGAGGCCGGAATTAAAGTGTACCTGTTGCTCTTCTATTACTTCTTGCCAAGATGAGAATGTTGTCACCTTGACAGGAAGTTAGTGGAAATCTCCTAAATGGGGCATATAGAGCAGATAAACCCAACAGGGGTACTAACTATTACCTACTCAGTCCTGTCGTCGTCAAGGCCCTGAGAGCGGAATTTATCAGAACTGAAGCAGACAAAATCTGCAGTAGCTGTGCCTGGCAACCAATCAGCTTCTCGCTTTCATTTTCAAACTGAAGAGAGAAGCTGATTGGTTGCCAGGCACAGATTTTGTCTGCTCCAGTTTTGATAAATTCCCCTCTGAGTGCTTTTATGAATAGGTGAATTTATTGACCATATAGCAATATTGGAGAGATACAAGAGTACTCTGCTAAATTGCTCTTGCACTCACAATTTATAGTTTAACAGAATCCAAGGGGCGCTGACCGTCCCCAGGCAACATGAAGATGTACATGTCTTGTTTACCGTTTTAGATTTAAGATTAATTATCAGAATATGATCAGACATCCTAACCTGCAAAACCTTTTTTCAGGGAGGTTCCCGTCTCATTTCAGGGAGGTTCCCGTCTCATTT